CTCGCCGGCGAGCATAACTCCGGTCTGTTCATGGGTACGGCCCCTTCGGGGAGTATCGTGGTGGCTGTGGTTTAATACCTAAATGCGGGTACAACTCGTAAGGGCTCCATGTGGAGTTGCATTTCAACCGGGTGCCGGGACCCAAAGAACGGCAGAGATTTCAGGTAGGTCTCTGCCTTACCAAGGTGGTAAGTGTGTCCACCACACACTGCCGATGCCAACATGCATCTGTTTCCAGCGGCTGTCGAGATAGTGCACCCGCGACTGTAGTTGCGCCACTCGTAATCTCACATTTTTGGAGTTCCTCTGCCAGGAAGCCGCGCCTACGGGCTACCTCATCCTCGTGGTTGGGGGACTCGTTGTTTACCCTGTTGACCTTCGCGCATGTGGTCTTTCGTCTTCTTCGGTCCCTCCTTTTGGTGTCCCTTGGTGGGCGATATCTCGTCGTGGCGAGTGATTTGGCGTCCTCTGTGATTGGTGGTGAGTTGATTGGCGCCGTCAGTCTGGATTGTGTAGGTGGCTCGTCCAGAGTTATCTGGGGACCGCCGAAGGACATTGTGGCCTCCATGCCTCCCAGTGCGTCCAGGCCCAGGATTATGTCATCAATGCTCCAGGCATTGCATCGGATATTTGGTTACTGGTGCCATCGGCCATAAGGATTCCTAAAGCCACGCTTATTCTCTCCCCATTCCCTGAGCTGACAATGCGTTCCGCCAGGCTGACAGACACAAAACTCCTCGAGGCACCAGTGTCGATGACGGCTTCCGCCGGCTTTCCACCCAGCAATATTAGGGCGTACAGGCGGCCGTGCTCCTGCTCCAAAGCTACTGGTTGTTCAGCTTTGTACTCGTGGGCTTTATCGCGCCTGTTCCATGGCCCTTCTCGACGACGCTGATCCGGGGGCGCGCTGCTAGATCAGGGTTCTCAAGCTACGTTTTTATCCGAGAGGGCAATGCAAATTCTGGGGCTCTCACGCAAAAGAGTTGACGTCAATATAACGGGCTTATCAGGCTCTAAGGTAACCAACGGGCGTTATTGTACAAATACATCTTTCGGCTCTAGGCTAGATTCAAATATTCAATATCACACTCTAGCTTATATTTTACCTAGATGTGCGGAACCCTACCAACAACAAAAAATCTTACAGGTTTAAAGCATCTAACTGATTTGTCCCTCGCGGATCCTATGTTCTTTGAACCGCAATCTGTAGACGTTTTAATAGGCAGCGATGTGTACGCCGAGTGTGTTTTGAACGAGGTACGCCGGGGAGGTAACGGTTTTCCTATTGCGCAAAAGAAAACGTTTGAGTATATTGTATCCGGTAAAAGTTTTAAATTTACACCCACATTAAGGCATTCTTACCACTTGACAGTAAATATGAATGTCGAAATTGGCAACTTACTTCGCCGGTTTTGGGAGCTTGAAAGCATAGACGATTCATGTATTATCCGAGGTTAGTTGGTGTGAGTCATTCTATCAAAATACACGTAAGAGGTCTGAGGAGGAAAATACATTGTTAGACTGCCACTTAAATCGGAAATCGATTCATCTTTATTTATCGGGTATCCTCAAAACCCCAAATGGCATAATAAAACGTCCAATAGTGAAGATTTACCCATTGCCTTTATCTAATAACTGGGAGCCCATGAAAGAAAATAACGCACAGTAATCTCAAACACTTATTCCTCTGTTTTAAGTTAAGGTTTTTATATGCAACGGTGCCGGTCAAGTCAATTACCGCATGTTATAAACTGATGATATTCTAGGGAACATCAACGCCGAGCAGATATGTGAAGCTGGTCACCCTATTTTGCTGCGCACCTATGGCAACGCCGTTTAGATGTGAAACTGTCACTTTGATATTTTTTTTTGTACTTTTTAATTTGTCAAATTCTTAGTAGCTCAATAAATGTTTTAATGTGAATTTACAAGTTAAGAAAAAGTCCACGTGGTTCTTCATACATTTAAACCCCATCGCAGTTATCATACATATAATTGAATTCGACCGACGCTGCTGTCCCAGGATCTCGCTGCAATAGTGCCTCGCCTGGCACTTTACAAAAAAATTGTTTTTACCAAAAGAACCTCCGCTGCCAATAATATACGCAATACGGGTTTTGCCTGACTCGATGCTCGTTCAGATCTGCCCAGGCACGCAGTTGCGAGCCAGGCCGCAACCTACGCACCGGCACGCAAACCGTTGGAGTGTCAGCGCCGGTGTTGTTGGTGCCCGATCAATTGGCGAAGGCCCGATCATTCTAGATGCGAATTGGGCGCTTTAGCGGTCGCCAGCACGGCAAACACAAACAACACCATGGACTTGCCATTGCCATCATACGGCGGACAACAAAAATGCCGCAATAGGTGAGAACAAAGGCGGCACCCCTACTACGGTCTTTCGTGTCATCTCTTAAAGCCCGTCCACATAGAACTTTAGCGTTGCGCTGGCGTTGGCGTCGCTTTGAGAGCAGCGCGAGTGGCGTGTGTTCTTGCTACAATGAACGTTTTGACAGCGCCGGCGATGACATTTGTTCAAGCCACGTGGTAGAGTAAACAACCGGGAAATAAGAAAAAGTTTATAATTTAGTTAATAAAACGCAAACAAATACAACAAAGCCGAATTATTTACGGCGGTATAGCTTCATAGGAAGGCGGCCCAATAATTTAAGTCATCAAATAGACATTTGATTTGTTTTTGCCAGTGAAGTAAATATTTCTAAAGAAAATTTCATACTAATTTGTGTGCATTACATTCATGGAGGATGGTTCCGTGCGCAGAAGTGGAAAACTTTTGACTGCCATTCACCTGGGAGTGGCCAGAAGCGATTCTTGTGCGTACGGTTCAAATCGCAGCTCACAACGTCCGGATATTTATATCCACGTATCCTCTGGGTAGCAACCAAACACCCGTTTGGGAGCGAGCTAAAGTGAGAAGGCGTAAAACTTCGCGTGCGCTGGGTTTGGGTCCCGC